CTATGTAAATTAACAGCGTTTGACTTGCAAGACGTCAAAAACGGACGATTTCAACGCGCTGTCGTTTATCGCGTATTCATTTGCCCAAAGAAGTATTTACGTCAATTGAAAGCTTGTTTATTAAAGAGCCAACTAGTAGAAGCATGATCGATTTGGAGCTTTATCGCATTGTGAAAATCGATTTTGTTAAGAGGGTATCGTAAATGAAGTAAGATAGTGTGCTCCAAAACTACGATTATTTCTATTCCTAAAAGTAACTCAGATTTCCTGTAAGTCATGTACACAGTCCTTTGAATAACCGAAAACAAGATTTTTAGGGTTTTAGATCGATTAGAAACGGTTGTCGTCGTGAAATTTATCTGTAAAATCAGCGCATATTTTCCCAGAAAAAAATGGCGATTTAGGGTGGTCGTGTTAAAACGGCATTTTCTCAAAGTTAAAAAAGCATTTGACCTAAAAAAATATATGGTGCATTTTCCGATATAATAAGGTATATCTGGGCAAAATTTGAGCAAAATCGACTTTTCAGTTGTGGCCGCGAAATGTCTCATATGTTCGATTTTTACTGACATTCACTCTTAAGCATTTTCGGTATTATCTGTTAGGAGCACAAGTAGTGATGAGGACCGACCACAAACCTCTTCTAAAGATCCTGGAACAGAAAGATCCATTTGGACGAAGAGCGACATTGATGAGAAATAAAGCAGAATTCGAACCACGCATAGAGTTTATTCGAGGGCAGGATAATCACATGGCAGATGCTCTTAGTCGGATCGGATGGAATGTCAAGTGGGAAGAGAGAGATGAAGATACTAGTAAAGTGGCTACTATTGGTGGCTCTCAAGACGAGATTAGTCCATGCAAGGATGTAAGGTTGGACATAAATGATTTCAAATTGCAGCAAGAACGTGACCCAACCCTTAAGCCACATATTTCCACTCACCGAAAGGAACATGGTTTATTCACACGAGATCATAAGAAGCAAGTGTTACTTCCAGCAGCGCTTGTTCCCACCATATTATCATTAGCTCATGACGAAACAGGGCTCCAAGGAGCAGATAAAATGCTTGCAAGAATTGAACCTCATTATTGGTGGCCAAAGATGAAAGCAGAAGTAGAGAACTTTGCAAAAACGTGCCAACGCTGTGCTGCTACTCTTGCCCAGGGACATTTGCGTTGATAGAAGTAGATCTCAAAGGTCCATTACCGAGAACGAAAGAGGGATTTGACAATATTGTTGTGATAACAGATCCATGTACAAAATATGCAGAGATGCATCCAATTCAAGGACAAACCAGCCAAGTTGTTTGTAAGACACTCATGGGTTGAATATCAAGATATGGTTTACCAAACAAAGTGCACTCTGACAATGGACCTTGTTTCATAAGCGAAACATTTGAACAGTTTTGCATAACCCAAGGCATTGAGCATACTTTCAGTCCACCCTATAGGCCACAAGGAAACGCGGGTGTAGAACGGATTAATCGTACGATGGGGGAAGCACTCACAAAATTGGTAGATAAACATCCCAACCGATGGTCTCAACACCTACCTGACGTACAACTAGCATACAACACAGCAGTTCATACAAGTAGAGGAGTTTCGCCGTACGAACAAGTTTTCAAGGAGCACCCGCGATCAAAATTCAAAATTATAACAGAAAAGATATCACCAGCAACGGTTAGAGAGAAAACGGAACGATTGCGCGAGAATGTTAGTGAAGTATTCCAAAAAGCACAAGAGTCCGATGCCAAGTTAGCGGAAAAACGCAGAGAACGGTACAACAGTAAAACTTAATTTAAATCGTTGGGGGTGGGTCAACAAGTTTGGAAAAGAAATTTACGAGCAAAAACATTTGCAGATCAATGGACGGGACTCTATGTCGTGGTAAAGCCCACGTCGGTAACCAAAACATCTTATGTAGTGAGAAGGAATAATGGAACTAAAGAAGAAATTGTCCATTACAATTACCTTAAACCTTATCAGATTCGACCTGTCAAGAAACCAAAGTCAAGGAATCCACTAAAGAAGAATGGGGTCGGACACCCAGCACTGGGCACCAGTGAGGACAGTGAATCTGACAGCAGAGAAGAGGAAATGCAACCAGAGAGAAGATATCCAGAAAGAATTCGAAGACCTCCAGAAAAATACACATAATACTTTTAAAGGGGGGGAGTGGTGTGATATATTGACATTTATACTTACATTGAAATAGATACTCGTAAATAGCAAGGCTGTTTGCAGGTTATTAGGCATGGACCTTCTGTCTTAATAATTAACTTGAAGACTAGGACTATTATTGTACATGTGTTCGGAGTAATACAATGTATAAATTTACACATGTTACTTCGAACGCATAATAACACAAATTTTTGAACCTGCGGCCCTGCGATTCATGCAGCGCTCTAAACAACTGAGCTACAGAGTCCGGTTGTCGAGTGAATTCCTCGCAAATTACAAGGTTTTCTTCCAAACGATTTATTTGTTTATGGACAGGAAACTGTTAGTGGTTAAACGCTATTACAAACATCACTTCATCAGTGAACCAAACTCAGTGAAATTAATATTTTTCGATGGTGTACCTTTAATCCTGTTATCTCCAGTCGTGAGAAATCCAAGAGCTGATAATCTGTAATTGATCGTCACTAGTATCACGTCACCGACTGCTACGAAATTTGGACCTGGATACAAGCCAGAGTGTCCGGACACAAACGCACCGCCATGTATCCAAACCTAGCGAGAATATGAAGTACGTCAATCAAAGCATTTTTTTACAATATGCCATTTTATCAAAATAATAATATTTTCTCACTGATTAAATTTCAATTTCTCCTAACGTAAGCAAAATACAAAACGTTTCTTATTGGTCGCTAAGAAATAGACTGATCGGACATTGCTGTGCTTATCACGGCAATGAATTGCAAGCTAGTGGAGCCTCGAAAACGCAAAATAATCAAAATTTAGATTTTGACGATTTAAGGCTTTGCTTTCAATGGTAAAAAAAGGATCAGACATTTAAGGGTATTTATTTAATTTGAATTAATTTCAATATTTGCCGCATTTATACAGTTTTGTTGTTGTACAATAGACTAATCATTGTGTTGTGGAGCTGTGTTCTGACTCTGTTTATGTTTTCCTACTTGACTTGTTTAATTTGTTTTGCACCGGTAATATCTATGTCCTGGATGCTGTAGATACTTTAATGTAGCCAGGATCCAGTTCATCAGTTTTGCTGTTTTAGAAGTGTATTCTAAACTTTCCTGCCAAACTTTATGGTAAGCTCGGGAAAAACTCGTCAACTCAAGAATATGAGCTTTAATTAAACTCGGCTTTTTACATACAATTTGGTTAAAATAAATCAATTCTGGCAAAAGTTTTATTGTATATATTGATTATATATTGAAATGTTCTCCAAACAGAGGTAAATGTTTTTGCTGTGCTCGATTGTGTTACTGTAAGAGCACGCATTTCAGCCACAAACCGTGCTTATATAACATGTATCTTATAATCGTTGTTTAGACACGGATTTACGGTTGCTAAGAGGCCAGATCTCAGAACAGTACCATCAGTACCAATTAGAAGTAGATGTTGACGCACCTTCAAATGTGGCTGTTGTAGGCCTACTTTGGGGGCCAAGGTTGCCTAATGTCGCCAAATTTCGCCTAATGACGCCTAATTTCGCCCAATTTCGCCCATGTGCACCCAATTTTTGAACTTTGCCTAACAGTCTATTCGCTGTCGCCTAATTTTGCATAATGTCTGATACAACACATGTGGCCTTGTATAATTGTTCATCCTAATTAGCACTATTATATAATGGTTCATCCTAATTAGTATTCTTTTGTAGTCGTATTTTAAGCTATTCAAAACGCTCGTTGTCGTGTTTTATCAGATATAAAACACTCGACTGCGCCTCGCATTTTATATCTGATAAAACACTCCTACTCGTGTTTTAAATAGTACATACGTAGACTATAAATAAAGAAAATTATCTATAGTATGTTCAAAATACGACTTTGCAGTTTGTAAAATAAAATTACTTACTTTTCGACGAAGCTACGATGATCGACAACTCATAATTAGGCAGCATCGCAAAAGATACAGAGCAATGAATGCACCACAGAAAGATCTACGGTACAGGTTATTATAAAATGTCGCCAAGGCCCGCCATAATCAATTATTATGTTTCCTTACACTAAGTAGTACAAGTTAGAAGCTAAACCATTAAATTATACGTGCCGTGGTATTGCGGGCTCAAATCCCACCCGCCATTTCTTTCAAGCATTTCTCTATATTAACGAATACTGAATAGAAGGGGGTAATGGGGTATTTTCGTGCTGCGTATTGGGGTAATTTAATTATTCGTTCTTCGTTCCGTCATCTTTTTATTAAACGTTTTTCGATCCCGACATGGATGCCGTGTATCGTGCTTGCGGTGTATTCAGTATGTGTTCTCCGTTTTCAGCTGTTTTTAAAGACGGTTATTTCTCGTTTCTGGACAATATATTCCATTAATTTTGTTTCTGGATTTTAGCTATGTTTTGATTGGGGAACGGAGGTTTCAAAGTTTATATAAGTCATGAACATCGACGCAATTGTAAACAAATAGGTGAACACACCGCCTAGTACAGACTGTTTATATTCACCTTTAAGACTTTTAAGTATCATTGTTGCTTACATTTCATGTTCACTTTATATTTCAGATTCGTAATAAAATTTATTTTACGTGCTTCAGGACTTCCTTCTTTTATTTTTCATGCTTCAAGATCGCTGCATATTATTTTTCGTGCTTCAGGATCGGTACCCCCCCCCCCACCCCCCATTACCCCCCTCTGAATACACGAATATAACGTTTTGCGAAATCAATTCTTGTTTCTATTTATTAATTTATATCAGATTCTTGCTGGAAATATATCAAACAAGGTACTTTCATCGTTATTTTGTGATTTACTTACTTACTAATAAAAAACCCGATACCAAACACCACAATGTAGTAATGTACGTACACAGTATAGTTGAACATATTAACTTTATAATTTATACTGTAACTACAGTACAAGAAAACTATACTAATAAAACGTTTGCAACCGTTGAAAGCCTCTCAACTAACGTTTAAAGTTAATAAATATGATTGGTTAAAACACAAACTTATTGGCTTACATTTAAGCGAGCAAATTTATTAGCACCTTGCCCACTTCCATCACTGCATACCACAGTCCATAAACAGGTTTTAAAACTCTATGAGGTGTTTACACCAGTCAATTTAATAAGAAGTCAGAGTTCCATGATACTGTAAATGTACCATGCACTGGGCATGTATGTGTACTGCGGTATAAACTTTGAGTAAATTGTCAGGCTAACAGTTAGAGAAATGTCCTTGTCAGGCTAGCAGTTAGAGAAATGTCCCATATTTTTGCAAACTATTTGTAATAAACTAATTGTGTTCTTTGCCACAGGAACCAATTTTTGATAACTAAATTATATTTTGATATTTACTGTTGTATTTTCCATGTAGATGCATAATTTGTGTATTATAATATTTGACATTATCTGGATATTGCTGTTCAGTTTTGTCCAATGTTGCCTAATGTCGCCCAGTTTCGCCCAGCGTCGCACACTACTTTTCTTTGAAAATTGCCAATGTCGCCTAATGTCGCACAATGTTGCACATAATAACGGCGACCTTGGCCCCCAAAGTAGACCTTGTTGTATACAAGATGTGATGAATGTCGTTGTTACTAGTCTAGGTACGGTTTCTAATAACGGTAGTTCACAGATTTGTTTTTTACTAAAAGTGTAAAATTTATTTCTTGTCACGGTCCCCTACAAGTTAATTAATTAGCTTTGCTTAAGTTCGCTTCGCCCTATAAGGTAATCCAGGAATCCAGAATCCGACTTTTAATCCCCAAGCCAATGGCGCGGAGCGCCGTTCCGGGCGTAAGCCCGGGGCGAGGGTACTAATCCCCCCCGGCTATTTGCACCTGGGGAAACGAAAGCATTAGCGAAGTCTAAAGTTCATCAATGATCGCGGGCGTAGCTCAATAACGGTGTGGGTGGTCATCCTCACTGATCTCAAAAATATGGCTGATTGCTTGTAGGAGTGGGATAAGCAAGATTTCAATTTTATTAAAAGACATATATTTGAAAAATCGTTTCATATACAACCAGCTTGAAGCAATTTTGTTTGAAAAATGAGAAGAATTGATTTACTATGGGAAATCGTGAAATATACGGCAAGTTTGCCTTGAATATTTAATATTTACGAATTAGGTTGCTTTAACTTTTTGCCTAAAAACATGAACTGTTTTCCTTTTTAACGAAGCTCTAAGTTTCATAAATTCCCGTTTAATTTAAGAAAAAATCTTAAAATGTAAAGGAAAACAAATTGATTTGAAGACTGAACTGAAGTTACATAACAATTTATTTTATTTGTATTAAACTTATTATGTTTTGTTAAGTAAAAACAGTTTACCGGCAAATGTAGTTTAGTTGAATGAAAGTTCATTTCGAAACATTTTACAAAGCGTTTCAAGTTAAACTTTACATTAAATCAAAGCTCACAAAATGCAAAATAATATACTTACAGTATATATTTCGGAAATGTGTTGTTGTATAGTTAAAAGTACGAATCTTTCAACTATTTTGCAGTTTTGTACAAAAATATTAAAAATATTAAAAATTTAAGAATATCGTGTTGTCATGGCAACACTTGAGCGCGAGCCTGCGTTCAGTGTTGGCCATTTCTGAATACTTTATGTGAATTTAATGTTTGGAAAATATTGGCCAGGGGTTACTGCATGCACGTATTTCTACATAGTTAATAGAGGGGAAGGTTTGGAAACTCATTAGCATTACAATAAACCTCACTATCTCTGTTTTTGTTCAGGTTTATGCAAAAATGTGGTCTTTCATCGTCACGTGCGTATTGTATTTTTCCTCAACAAGCCAATAGCAACGGTTTTGTCCAATTGCCCATCCATGACTTTAACAATAGGACATTTTGAACATTCCTATTGGTTGACTTGAGAAAAATACAATACGCACGTGACGATGAAAGACCACATTTTTGCATAAACCTGAACAACATAGATAATGAGGTTTATTGTGATTTTATTGTAATGCTAACGAGTTTCCAAACAATCCCCTCTATTAACTATGATTTCTAGTAGCTTTGCAATCCGGAATTCAGACAGTGGAATCCAGAATCCAAACATCGAAGGAGTCCAGAATCCTTATCTTGGGACGATTTCTGGAATCCGGAATCCACAACCGATCTGGAATCCAAGTAGTGAAATTCAGACTCCAAAGAGCGGATTTCGGAATCCAAGGAATGAAATTCGGAATCCACGGTCTGCATGAATAATTACCTTACATGGGCCGATTTGCTAAATAAAACGGAAATCTCATACACGTAACATGGGGTTAAAGATTGATAAAACAAGCCACTGCACAACAGTGACCACACAGTTTTAAAAGCTCTTCTGTTAAGACAATTTTAACACTTTCAATTCATACGCATTTTAACTAAACAAACAGATATCTTACCATAACACTCGCATTCTGAGAACGTGGAAATGGTGTCCACACGTTGAGTATTAAACAGTCTTCAGTGATTGTCACTCCAGATTGCCATGGTTGAACACATGCAATTATATCTTTGGTACTATTCAATATGCCTAAATAAAAACACGTTTCCTCTTAAAAGTATTCTTGCCGTTCTAGTTGACATGGAAGCATTTAGAAGAAGGCCTTAATGGAGATCTGAGAATCTGGATTGACAGTTTGACCTTTTAGTAAACAACCATAAATATACGTTGTAATGAGACTCATAAACATTCATATTGTGTACTTGTGTTCATTTTTGTGTTGCATTCTGTCGTCATTTTCAGGTCAGTGTAAACGCTTCAGCAGGCGTCTTGTTAAAATTACTTCGCCAAAGAACTCTTTAGATGGGTCGTTTTTTAAGCCATTTACAACTCTCGCAGTCCGTGCTTTATCAGATATAAAACACTTGAGCTGCGCTCTTATGTTTTATATCTGATAAAGAACTCCTGCTCGTGTTCTAATAGTACTTTTAAAATAGTACTTTTAAAATAGTAATTTTAAAATAGTACTCCCAAAACTGATGTTGGGTAAATGAAAAAGGACAGCATACAATTTTAGTGTATTTTTATTAATTACCCATTTCATTTTTGTTTAGGCTAGTTAAGATTACAATTTTGGAAAAGTGGTAACCATTTCCCGTTTGTAATCTAAAATGACTGAAAATTGCAAATTTCGCATGGCTATATTATCCGCATTTTACAACATTTCGGAACGAAACTTTGGAATATTACTAATTTTGTGATGCTCTTTCATGCTATGATGGAATTTTGTCTAGACTTGTTGAGATCAAAATTTTGGTTAATTGGGGAATGGTCCATTAATACATATTATATTATTTTGTATACAACCCAACATTTCAAGATGAGACAACTTTCAATAGGGACCAAGAACTTTTCTAAATCATAAAGCTGTGTTACCCTCAATTCTTAAACTTTACTATTTTTCATACGATGGACACTAGAGAACAAATTTCCTTCCGCATTCGCAATCATTTGTTTCAACGAGTTTGTTTACCGTCGTCGCGTTCCCGTCCTACATGCTTAAAGTCACCCTGTGAAATTTTGAGAACCCGCGCGCAACGTACCTCTTGGCGGTTCTGCGGGAGAGATGATTATAGTTGACTGGTGACCAAAAAAGCAAAAATAAAAGTTGAAACGAGTGCTCACGGGAGTCGGTCAAACGTGAGCTAGAGTTGCAACTATTCTAACAACTTTTGTCCTTGTTCAAAGCCCTACGATCAAACGAAGATGAGAGTACTCTCTAGCACGTGTGTAAAACGAGCCATGTGATTGCAATGGAAGACGTCTGATGGAGGCACTAGAATGGAGTGTCGAAATGTTGGGTCGTGGATGTGATTCGATCAAGGCGGGATTGCATTCATTCATTGAATTCAAAGTCCATGCATATAGTGAAAAACGAAAACTTGACATAATATGCAACAACTATTGAATGAGGTTGGGCATGATATCAAGAATTATCAATTTTTAAAAAGACATCCGCACGTTCGAGTTCAATTTGTCGAAAATTATAATAATCAGTTCTTATTCCCATTTTCAGAAGGTCTTTCTTTTTGTGTCAAGCGGAAATATCAGTCAGAGCTATATTGGAAATGTTTCGACATTCTCGCCCTGAATGTCCAAACAAGTATCACGAAATATTTGGATTTGGCTAATTTGAGCATGGAGATTTAAATTCTGATGTTCATTTCTGATGTCAATTCGGATAGGAGAACATATTAAAATTTGTCTCCCTTAACCAAAAGCGGCGCCATATTGTTTTGATCGCGTTTTAACATTTCGTATTCGTATTTCCAGAGCATGACGTCATAACGTTGATTTTTGTATATCAACGCTATATTGACGTCGTCACTCTGTTTAATATTACTCGTCCAAACTACGTACATGGTCTTTTACAATCTTGGACAAAACCCAAGAATTTTGTATGGAGGGAAAGGTAGTATCAACCAGTTGTGTCTAAGATTGTAGCTATTGAGTCAGTATTATCGACCGCAGTTAGCTGTTAGCCAATCAGAAACCATCAATTATTTTAAATAGATGATAATGCAAATTAAAACATTATTTACCTTTCCAAGGTCTTTTGGGTTGAGGTTTTTTAAACCTCAGTTGACCAACTGGAGCTTCAGCATACGGAATATTGAGGAACTTCTGGACCCTGATTCCAGATAAACTGGAGGACTGGATCTTGCCTCTTATCGAACCTAACTTGGTCTTGATCACTGTAGAATATATATACAAAATTACTTCAGTCAAATATAGACTAACATTATAAACTCAAAGTGGAATGCATTCTGATTATTAGGTATATAATACAAGATAACACACACTGCACCTCCGCCACGTGGATAAATTACAGATTTAGCCTAATTACGCATTCAGATTCCTCTACCCAGCCAAGAATGCCACCGTGAAACTTTAGTTAATTTCTAGCTGGTATCCAATTTTATCGAAATTAAAATGAAACCAAAATTTAATCTATCTGTTCTTTGACAATGGCCATTAGCCTTGCACATTTTTGTATAAATAGATTTGATATATTTTGGCTACAGGCATAATAATTAACTAGCAATTAATTGGGATTTTGCTGACGGCTGTTTAAAAACCGCTCGATTTAACCTAAAATTCAAAGCAAATTTTCCAACAGCTTTTGTTTTATACACCTAGAAATATTTTAAATTTGTTCACAGGGGCGTAGGAAAATCAAAATGTTGGGGGGGAGGTCACCGGCTTCGAGGGGCACTTTCGAATAATGAAAAGGGCACCTAAACAAATTTTCCCGGAAATGTTGGCGACGGGATTGGAGGGGGGGGGGGAGGGGACGAAAACAATTTTGCAATCATATCATATTCCATGCTTAATATAATACATTTGCCCAAATTTCGAATTACAACGTACAATCAACGTTTTTACCCCATTTAAAAAAAAATTAACCAAAAGTTAAATCTATTTGTTTCATGGACATTTATTTATTTAAGGGCAGTTTTCTCAAGAATTGCAGATTATTTTCTAAACTACATTTTTCACGAAGACAAAGGGCACTTTTCCAACGAAGAGAGGGCAAAACGTGGGGGGCCTAGGCCGCCTTGCCCCCCTCCCCCCGGTTCCTACACCCCTGTTTGTTCAGAAATCTTGTGTGGATCAATGAGATTTTCGTTTCTGAAGTTTGGGAGAAACAGATATGCAGAAATACAGCAACAGAAACAGCAGACTAAATTTTAACCCAGGGTTAGCGCCTATACTGCTTTGATACGGCCACATGTAAAATCACAACCTCCTGGCGAAAGTAACAACATTCAACAAAAGCCTATAGCTTGCATCATTAACTCATGCCGATTATGGTTGTCGGACGTTTGTTTTCACTATTAGTATTATATTCTTATTAAACTTTTGTTTATAGGGATATATGGCATTAGTAGTAATAATTTCAGTATTCAAAAATAATTTTTGAGCATTCTGACTGGTTATAGCACCTTTAGCAGTAACTCTGAGGCAATATCAAGTTACTGCTCAGACTGCTCTGAACAGTACTACTACAGTTTCTGTATTGCTTTTCCAAAATATGGCTAAAAATCTGACGCAATTAAATTATTTACGAAAAATTATATTCATAAAATAAACGTTATTCGTCGTATAAATTAACCTTTTTCAATACTGAAATTATAATAAATGACGCCTTCGCTTTCGGCTCAGTGAATATAGGCTTGTAATCACCTAATTCATCTCGTCGTGGGCGACTAATTGTTAAATAAAAATTTAGTTTGTCTCATTTAAAAAAACTTTAAAAATTAGAGAAAAACGTTAACTTTTTACAACTCTTTCAAATGTTGCTTAGCTCTACAAATATTTTGATTGAAGTCATCACACATTAGTGCATTTCCGCCATCTTGGATGACTATTGAATATATGCATGTTACGTCAATATATCACAAGCAGGGTCACGCAAATATTTCACCCAAATATGCATTGGTCATTACCCAGATAGCATTAGGATTAGGGTAAGATTATGGAGGCAAATGAATGTGAATATCTTTAAATTTAGCTGCTATATAGGCTATAGCTCATTAATCTGAGCCGCTCATATACTAGTCAATGTTCAGGCTATCTTCAGTTGTTATTTTTGTTATTCCACGGTATCGAGTAGGAAGAAAGGTGAACGCCAAAATCTTTGCGTTGCAATGTGAAATTCATAGATAATGAATCTCTTTAGAGTTTAGGAACAAGACTGCTGATCGTTGCCATGACCAAAGGTCTGCCACACGTAATTATGTTGAGAATGTTCTCGACATAAATACTTGTCTCTCTGTTGCAATATTTCCACAAAATTTTTTAGCAATATCATCACACCTTCCGCTTGATTGGCTGATATCTCACAAAGAACATTGACGAGGAAATATACAACTATGATCAACATCATTTCCTGTAAAACATTGAGGACATCAAATATACAGTAAATGAACTATTAATAATTTACAGTGAATGTATTTTATGGTTTTAACTTTTAAATGAACCACAAATTAAATAATACCTTAATATGCAGAATATATCTCAGAGTACGTATCATGCAAAGATAATACTCAACTAAACCCCCTTTAGGGTTTTTCATAAATTAAAAAATAGACAACTTTGAAAACGTTCTCAATTTCACAAGTCGGTTCATTTAATGAAATTTTTGATAAATATAGATTGTTTGGATACTTACAGTATAATTTAAAATAAACAAAAAATTCGTAAAGATAAATTTTCCAGAGCAGGGTGGGCTGCTTTTTAGCAGCATTAAAAATAGCTTGCGCGCAAAATTTAAAGGTTTAAAACTCATTTTGCCGATTTCATCGGCGTGAAATCTGTTATGCGTTTTATCAATGATCCAAATATCAGAAAATGTACTCAATTTCTTATAAATAGCTGCTGAAACGTCAGTTTTGGCACTAATGCCTATCACGCATGCTTAATTCATTCATTTACCTAATTTGCATAGTAATTGTTATTGTTATTATAAAGAAACTAATTAAAGGACTAAGTCTTATAAATTGAGTAAATTTTCTGATATTTGGACCATTGATAAAACGCATAACAAATTTCTCGCCGAGGAATTCAAAATGCGTTTTAACTTTTACATTTTGCGCACAAGCTTTTTTAATGCTGCTAAAAAGACACCCTCTGCTTTTGAAAATTTATCTCTACGAAAAAGTACCCAAACAATCTATAGCTATATATTTATCAAAAAATTTATGAAATGAATGGATTTCTGAAATTGAGAGCTGTTTCAAAATTGTGTACTTTTTATACACCCTGCATGTATACTATTCGCGATATTTATTTCCTATAGGCTAATGAATCTACTTGTATTTATTCGGTTCTAACAAGCGCAAAATGCTGGCCCTTATTGCACCATTCGCAACATCTTCGGCCTCGATCTGGGTTTTTCAAGATCAAGTTGAGAAAAGTAAAGCAAAACAAAAGTAATTTCTACTGTATCTTGATTATTTTAAGTATGTTTTTCCGAAAGCCAGATCCATGTAGACTTTGGTGGTTACACAATCATTTATGCTTGCTCGACGCTTATATTTAGTTATATTTACAGCGGTCAAAATGCGAAAGATCTTAATCCAAGGCTGTTCCGAAGTTTAGACGCAAAGGCAATACTCAGGTATTCTTGATAATACCGAAGCGTGTATACAGTAAAATGAAACGTTCAAGGCAATATTATATGCCAATATTGTCAACCCAACATCGTCCAACACTGCAATGTACTGTTTGGAGAATTTGTGTGTTCGTTGGCTGGTGATCAGGTTTAGCCAAGATTTGACAATCAAAACTTTCACTCAAACATTGGCGCAACAATGTCCTAGGCGATGCTGCATGGAGTTGTCTGAACGTTATATAAACACATTTTTACAGCTGGATTTGAAATACGAATTACATAATCGCTGAATGATTTCAACCCACCTGCTTGGTGCTGATCATGAATCTAGCCACTTTACCACTTGATTTAACACGCCGTCACTGTCGCTGTGAATGTGATGTTGCCCTGAAATAATACTATATATTTATCAATTCTGGCCGGCAACCTTGTTTTATACCTAAAGTAATAATTTATTCAACTTCACATATGTGAAATGATATTGTTAGCTTGACATATAAGCAGTATTTTTTTATGTCACTCTTATTAGAGGACAGTGCATGTGCAATATAATATTTATATACCTTATTGTAGTATAATAAATAATTGTTGCATATATTGGAAAGATTTTGGCAGAGACTGCTATATGCTGAATTTTGGCAGAGACTGCTATATATTTAAAGCAAAGTATAAGAGTTTAGATTGGAAACAATCCACATACAAACGAAGTGATAACTCTCTGAGAGGTGCAAAATGCACCAACATGCACTAAGTATCACCAGGCTGGTCAGTATTGTTTGGTAAATCTAGCACAAACGTTGGTAATTTTAAAATTTAATTTGATTCAAAGACAATACATGGTGTGTTAGCCTATATTTAAATTTTGTAAAACTGATAGTCTATATTACTCCGAGTCTTGAAGTATTCTAAAAAACGAGTGATTACTAATACTTGGCTGAAATGAATTTCAGAATAAAAAAGAATAACAACCATTTTTTAAATTGGTCTATACAACAGACAGTTCGTATAAGAATCTGCATGTTTATTAAGCTAGAGTAAACTACAAACTATGACAATGAAATCTTTATATATGTATTATGTAATTATCAATTGTCAACACATTTACTGTCGTCCTCATAGAATAAAGTTCAGTTGACCAAATAAAAAATGACATAAAATGCTACCATGGTAAGCCAAGCCCGCAGTGTAATGAAATTTTTCGTTGAACCACTCGTTTCTTTTTCAATAAATCCTTCAGGATCATTCAGAAATTCACAATGTTTTTCACGTAATTTTGTTCTCACGGTCATCTGAGAAAAACTTTCCATGTCCAGAAATTCTTCATTACTATCGCTATGTTGAGGCCATAATGGTAAAGTGTCGACATTGCCTATCACAATCGGTAACTTTCTGGTGCCGGAATTTGGATCTCTGTATAAAGAAATGGAATTATTGATGAGATTCTAGTTAAAAATATTATTGCCCAGCAAATAACTCGTAAAAGAGGCATTTTCAAAAAATAACATTTGGAATATAAAAAATATTTATTGAATAACGTTTCGTCACATTACAAGCGACATCATCAGACTAAATACAGTTAAGCTATTTCACCTATTTTTAATATAACAAATTTTGAAAAAATATATGAATCTCCGAGCATTGCGGAATATCGGCTTTGACTGGCAATCCTCTTTCGTGTGTTTCAAAATCTAGTATTTCGGATCATTCTAAGAAGCCGGTCATCCAATTGAACCAAGTGATTTTAAAACTGTTACTTCAGCTAATTCTAACCATGATATTCTTATTAAAGGCACAGTTCAGCTTTTTGAATGATGGTTTTTAAGGCGCATTTCGGCCCTTTTAATTGAAAAAACTAACCGGAAAATCAATTAAGTATAATTCAAAATCCGTAAACTCGAAGTTTTTAACAATAAAAATGTTTTAAAATGTTAAAAACATCGAGTTTGGTGATCTTGAATTATGCTTAATTGATTTTCCTAGTTAGTTTTTTCAATTAAAATTAAGAGCTGAAATGTGCCTTAAAAACCATCGTTCAAAAGGCTGAACTGTGCCTTTAAAGAAAGCTTACTAATTGCTCAAACTAAACCATGGCTTAATAATAATGTCCGATCCTTTCCGTTAACACTCTTCTTAAGTAGGTGTTTTATCTTGTTAATTTACTAATATCTTTTAACACTGACGCTAACCACCTGACATTCCTTTTTAATCTATATCTTTCACTAATCTCAGCATCTTGTGCATGTCAATATACCATGAACATTGTATATTTCTAATTTTAACTTTTTAACCGTTTGTAATTGTATATCATATATTTTTTCAAAATTTGTCATAAAATAGATGAAATAACTGTATTTAGTCTGATGATGTCGCTTGTAATGTGACGAAACGTTACTCAATAAATATTTTTTATATTCCAAATGTTTTTTTTGAATATGCTTCTTTTACGAGTTATTTGCTGGGCAATAATATTTTTAACTAGAATTTGATTTCCGCCTGGTGTTTTTATATTGCTGATATATTGATGAGATTTCATCTTATACTAGGTGGGATCTCAATGTTATCTCATACCTAGCGTATGGTGGCTGTCCTATTGGCTACGAGGGTTCGAGATCGATGTTTTCGGCGGCGGCCATTATGAACAAATTTCAGACGAAGATTTAAATAAAAAACAAGACGCTCTGTTGAGCGTTTAGTCGCAGGGCTTCTGCGCTTATCGCTCTCTCTTCTGGGAGCAGTGTATAAGCGCAGAAGCCCTGGGTACGACGTTGATATCATTTATTGGATTTATCTGGCTTAGGCCAACTTCGAGGACACTGGAAACCAGGCTTAAACAAATTTATTGCAACTCCACATTTTGACCCTTCAACTGATTTTCTCAAAAAATTTAATGCCCCCCCCTTCTCGTAAATTATTTATACTCATGGGGTCTTGGCCCCACCTTTTGTCCCCCCCCCCTCCCTCTTCCATAAATAAGGACTGGTCCCCAACTGCAGGAAAAATATGTGCACTTCACAGAACATTTATAACAATTCATAATTTATCACTTTTGCCTCAGGCTGGGTAAGCACAACAAAAGTTGCCAAATAGGCCCTTTGAAGGTAGCTTGCGTGTCAGGCTCGACGCTTGAAATAGAGCCTGTTATACCCTGTGAGCAAAGTCCTCTCGTATTTCTTCTCGGCGCGGCACAGAGAAGCGAGAGAGACTCTGCAGAACTTGTGTATAAATTCATTCGAGCATGCGTGAAGGTTGCTAAGCAACTGCCTATTTCCCAAAAGAAGATTTAATAAGTAGTTTCCGGTTCGGATCAAAACCGGTTATAAAACTGGTATCAAACCTGAAATTACTCATAATTATCCAAGTTTTTGGATTGTCGGCTCCACAAAGAATATACACAAGTTCTGCAGAGTCTCTCTCGTGCTGAGAAGAAATACTAGAGGACTTTGCTCGCAGGGTAAGTCTGTTACTGAAGTCAATAAAAAGTGGACAGTGATTGGGATGCACAAAAATAACAACCAATCAAAATGGCGATTGTTAATTACGTATCAGTCAATTCCAGCAGTGCCCATCCCCCCCCTGGGGAGAAAATGGCCAACTTTTCCACCAATATCTCAAAACTAAATATTCCAATTTTCATCGAATGGCCAGGAATTACATATTAAATAATAATAATAATAATAATAACTGTTATTGACTGCAGCAAAGGCAGACAGGCAGTCATTAACATAGCCAAAAAGTAGTTAAAGTACAATTACAAACTACGGAATATCAATACGTAAACAACAATTCGGCATTACCTTAAAAACAAAGCTATTTATTTCTGACCAATGGGAATTTTGCGTACGAATCATGTGCATCAATCCTTTTTACTGACCTCAGTAGCAGGCTCTATTTCAAGCATAGAGCCTGACACGCAGGCTAGTGGTTGACATGCAGAGTCGACTAGTACATGTTCATATTATACCCATTGTCACCCAATTCTAATTTTTGGATAACTCATATTTTTGTAGTATAGCTACCTTTACAATCAAGCATTTAAATTGTATATGCGAGGTAATTAGTTTTTCTCACGGCCGATCTTTCCGCCATTTTTGGGGTACGTACTGCCTCTCCTACTTTTGAGAGTCTCACGGCCATGAAATACAACGTTTTAGTAGTTGTTTGTATAATGGTAAATTTACAGTTACAGCTTTTAAAAATCGATTTTTACGTTGTTTGAATTGTCTAGAATCTTTCACGAGGGCAGACAGTACCCCAAAAATGGCGAATTTTGGCCTTGCCCTTGGTGAGAAAGCCTAATTGGATGGCATCGTGCAGTTCAGAAATGGTGCTATCACTTAATTTTGTTGTCAGGGCTTTGCTGTTGTGTTGGTGTCGGCTATTTTACGAGTTTGCAAGTTAGTGTACAAATTCACATAATTTACACTGACCGAATATAATTTTCATCTAATATATAAATTAATTTCATCCGTTTCTTCTCTTTCATTAATGATCAATGATGTATTTTATTCGGATAATATTTTAATAGATTCTTCCATATCCAGTTCATGTTTTGCCGACTGGGAAAACAATTTTCCGACTGGGATACAATAATATGCCGAATACCTAACGACTGGGGGATGTCCCCCGCCCCTCTAGCGCCGCCCCTGCATATTATTATAAACCTCTAAAGTCTAAACAACCTATCTTGAAAAATTTTGGGTGGCTTGGTGCAAAGGTGCGGGTGAGTTTTCAAGTCTGTATGTGTGAAAAACAGGTATGACCTTTCTGAAGCTAGCCCTGCAAAAAAATAATATACACTAACGTTTTCCCTAATTCTAGCCCTAACACCTGAACTTATTACTGACAATGTTTATATACATTCCTGGATATGTAAAGTATAGTTTTGCACCTTCCTGCTCTTTTTTAGATCAAAATAAAAATTATACATTTCGTGTATAGGTTTATGTACAAGTATTGTTGACATCGGCAGTCAACAATACTTGTACATAAAGCATACGACTTGATTTGGCATGGGTTTATTATTTTCAACATCAGCTCCACCTTTGAATTTACTATATGAGTAAAATCTTAAACACGTCCGAATTTATCATTATGATAAATTCGCGGCACACTTTGAATTTATCAATAGAGTTAATCATAAAACCACAAGCATTAGACAAGGCTTCTTGTTATAAATGCAATGGCACTTAGAAAAGTTTAAAAAGTTAGGGGGTTAGTGGTTGGAGTTGGGGTTAGTGTTAGCACGGTTAATAGAATTAGATGGTTAGGCTAGCCGGCAAACTTCAAAGGGAGCGGCAAATTATGTCGAGAACCACTTTTATTTGTGTCACGTGACGAGGAAAGGGGGTGCTTTGTGATGAGTGATTAGGAAAACATATGGGCGAGAACATAATATGCCAACAAAAGATCATATTTCAAAACGCTATAGGGCTTCTGAGATCAAAGTGGAAATTGAAACAGAAAGTGAACAAACATACGAACCTATTTTGAACGTTGGAGATGAAAATATCGAAGAAAGCGAGCGTCGCGAACAGTTTATGATCGAGGCATAAGAGGGCGAAGACATTTATCGCAACTAGACGATGCAACCGCAGAGGATTTATACAACTTTGATGTGTCTGTTGCTCTAACGGAAATACAGTTAGACGAAACAGACGCTGAATTCACCGAAGCTATACAAGAAATTGATGGCGAGAGGGGTTTTCCTTTTAGTCAGTGAGAGATAGTGTGCAAGTCTATAAAGTAAAGGGAGAGACAAAACTCGTGCTGCGTTGACTATTAGAGGACGTGGTTTGATTATATTACACCGATTCAGGTCAGTTTGGCTACTGTTTCCTCTACTGATGCTTTGTTCGATGCTTTGCATGGCCACTTTACACAACATTCTGTCCAAGGAACAATCAAGACAAACTTTTAGAATGTTTTTATATGGCTTGATTCCTCGTTTGTGTGAGCAGCTATAAAATTGTGAGAACTATAAAGTAGCAAATATATTCCTGAGCATATTTGATCGGATTTTTATAAAACACTACACCAGCAAAATGTCGGCATTGTTGGAAAATGCTGTGATTTTTCGTGAAGTTCAACCCTCGAACTCTGCACAGAAACTGTACGGAAAATATAGTTAAACTTTATTTAACAGTCGGAGCATTTTCCTACACCAGAGACTTTATTACTATTAAAGATGCGGAATGTACAGTCCAATCTGTGCATGTGCACACAGGAGTCCCCTTTTTATTTACAAACAGTTTAGTTAGGTTTTTATTTCATTTTATGTTCTTGCAAAGCTTGATTGTTGTCTCTTGATAATTTCTAGAATCATGAAAATATAACTAGTTGTGGAATAAAATTCAATAT